AACTCTTCCTGTGGGTAGTGAGGTATTTGAGTAAGAGAGCGATAGGCTGATTTAATTTATGTCTGGTGCAGTCAATAAGATTCTCAGTGGTTCATACCATTGAGAAACAATATACAAATAATATAATAAAATCAAAACAACAACATACTGTAAGTAACATAATAAAACGGGCAAATTGCACATATAAAATAATATATCCTAGTCCAACTTTCCTCAATAGAGTTAAATATGGATTATTACCTTCTTTCATTTTTTAAAAAGAAAGCATCAAAGAAGTTTTATAACATAGGCTTCATGACTTCCAACCTCACAAATCTGATCCGTCAGATCTTTGAGATAGACCAAGTCAGGAAACAGACCCTACAAGGATTCCAAGCATGCTACCTTATTGTTGTAGGGTTGGTCTTTTGTGCCATCAAGTTAGTTTTCTTGAACAATGTTTTTGGCAATGTTTGCACTTACCTACTTCCTAGGACTAAGAGAGTTTGTCTGGCCTAAGGTCACCTGACTGACTTCATGCCTAAGGCAGAAATAAAACCCAGTCTCCAGGTTTCTAGCCTGGTGCCTTAACCACTATACCAGACTGAACAACAAAATTACAATCCTGAAAATTTGTCAAAATTTCTCTCTGCCCACCTAGTACCAAATAGAATCAAAGTGAGGTTATTTTGTGTTATCTCTGTACTGAAGCTAAAACTCTTGACTTATTTTTCAGAGTGTATAGCTCCTTCATTTACATAATATTTCTTGACATCAGTCTTATTAATACAGAGATTACCAACTTTTTATTACTCTGGTTTCCAATTATTAAGGAATCTATGTTTTGTTAAGGGATGGAGATAGTTTTGAAGCAGGATTTTATTTATTTTTTAAAAAAAAGGGAGATCAAGATTTGTTCTAGGTATAATTAAAGTGCCTGGTAGAATCTAATTTTTATACATATAGTCTTATGTCTCAGTTTGTGAATAACTGGAATAGTGTTGGCTTCAGCATTCACTGTTTTGTATGTTTCCTCTAACTTTTGCTTTGTTTACCATTTGATCAATAAAACATGAATGCTCACTTTCTCTTTTGTGATTGTGATTTGGCCTAATTGAAATATTTATGAAATTTGAATTATTTCTATATAATTAGAATGATTTTTCTGGCTTTTACAGAGTTAACAATGTAGTTCATACTTTTAGATTTAACATATTTAACAAATTGGGCTGCACCATAGTAATTGAATAAGCCAATGTTTGTATGTTGGGATATTAACAAGATAAGATTTTCTGGCATTTTTATCTTCCTCTAGAAAGACCAATCTCATATTTGTGGGTGGACCAGATTGTTATCTTTTAGAGTAATTGCAAACATGTCATTTGTCTACATAGGGAGAGTTTCTAGATAAGAAAAGTCATCCCCGTATCATAATATTGGGGTTTTGGTTTGTTTTTTATGCATATACCAAGAAAGAAGCTGCTGTAAACAAAATCCCTCTGGTTTGTATATATTATGCAAAGTTAGTAATTACTTATATTCTAACCTAATAAGATTTGGCTTGTATGAACTTCAGTGTTGGCATCACAGTTACTTCAAAATGAAAACCTGTTTCTTAGAAATATGTAATTACTCTAGCAAAGATTTCAGTACACACACACACACACACACACACACACACTCCAGGTACACTGAAGTTCTCTAGACTGCTTGTATTTTTCCTCTTTCTCCATATTCTGATATGAACATGGAAAGAGCTGGTAGCATATTTAATGCAGCAAAGGCCTGAGTGCTGACATGAATTGGATGCCTATAAACACACATATGCATGTTTAATAAGTGTAGTTTTTCTTCCATCCTGCATGGTAATATGAATATTACATTTCATTTTATCTACTATAGCTCATTAAATAAAATCTGAACATAGCACCATATGGAATCAATATGCTACTATTTTTAGATCTGTTCATTCTACTTATAAAAGATTATGTTAGTGAAAAAGCCATAATTCAAAGTGAGGTGCCAAGATATCTTCCTGGAATCTGGCTTATCTCCCAAATTTGATGGATGTCCTAACACGATATTAGCATATACCTTTATTATGTGTTTCTCAATAACAAATGGTACCATCTGATCAGACATGATTAGTACTTGCAAGCTGATGGAGAAACCGAAGAAATATTCTTAAAGAAATGGCAGTATGGCGCACCACTTCCATTCTGTTAACTCTGGAAATTACATGGACATGTAGTCATGAAGGGTTAAACTCCATGTTACTTTTATCAATGTTCATTAAGCCATTTTGATGCCCTTTTTATCTCTTGAAATAAGTGTTGAACTCATTGGCCCACAGAAGTAGATCAATAGGGCAATTTCTTTGATAATTGTTTAATTTGGTTTCATGCTCTTGATAAGTGGTACTATGTAATCTGAACATATACTGTATAACCCAGATATTGAATTTAAATAGCATTTAAATCCACAAAAACAAATCTTTATTATGCCTTTAGACCAGAAATCACTACATAGAAACACATAAACTAAAATTGTAGATATCAGTAAAAAGCATAAAATACAATGATAACATGACAATAATATTAATATAATGCAGGTAATTTGAGGATCATCAAAATTAACACTAATGGGACGAATAAAACAGATAGAGGCACAAAATCCGGCAGTCTGGGAAGATACATCAGTCCTGGTGGGATAGAAGGCTTGACAAATAAGCATTGCTTCTGAACTTTTTTATTAAGATCAGGTGTAAATATTGAAACTTTAAAATTTACCTATCACAAATTCAGTGAATATTCTAAGAAATTACTTTGCTTTTTGCTTTTATTTTCCCTTATGTTAATTTAATTTTTAAAATGAACTGTTACAGTATCTGACAGTTTTAAATACAGAGTGTCCTATTTCCAAAGTTTTAAATTATTAAAAATGTTTTAAAACATTAATTCTGTCTTTAGAATATTGGTTATTAAGCCAGTACTGCTTCTTATACATTTCACTATGTTCTACTATAGTCATTTATCTCTAATTTTGTTTTCTTTTCTTTTTCAAGGACCCACTGTTGTCTTCCAGTATGAAAGCACCTCAGAGACCCACTATACAAGTTTGACTATAGCATGGCGGCAGGGTGGACAGCCTGCTCAGATCTCTGAAACGATTTCATTGCTTCGCTTCAGTATTAAATCCAAGACTTCACGTTTTGTTCTATGCTGTACAATTACAATTCATTTATGCAAACTGATTAGTGGGTCTTTGTGTGGCTTTCTGCACTCTCCAATCTAGTTTTCTTTACTCTCTTTATTTAGGAACAATAATGAATTATTAGAATGCTAGTCCAAGCTATATCTCTTGGCACAATGCAACTTTAGGCACACAAAGACCTACTATTTATACTGTCACATGGGAAATTGTGTTCTCATGATTAGCATCATATATTTCCTATGTTGCTCTCTCACTATGCACTTCATGTATGATCCTGTAAATAGTGGCAATGCTTTTGTGGGAAAACAGAGCAGAGATAGAATAAAATCTGTTGTGTTGTTTTAACGGCACTTTATACCACTGCTATGTCTATATATGTTATATACTAGAGCTCTTTAGTTTCACCTAAAACAAAAATGTATAAGGTGGCTTTTGCTACAGAAATTGGAAAGATTGTGCCCTAAATAATACACACTTCTTGATATGTTAAAGGAAAGAGTAACAATTTTTTAGAAAGCTGGACAAAATTTTATTTTGAGAGAAACTTCTTTTGGAGCCTTGCCGAAAGTCTAAGAAGCCTGTTTCTTGAATTCCCAATACTGTAACAATCTTGACAGTGCTTCTCTCTTCTGCCCACCCCTCCCTTCCCTCCCATTGGTTCTGATACGTCAGGTTGTTGTGGGATTGGTGGAGCAGCAAAGAGAACCTTTTCAACTCTGGGAGACTTAAGGGAAGTATCTCAGTGCTCCTGGCATTATCACCTTCCAAGATCATTTCAGATCCTGATTATGAGGGAAAGGAGCTTGTTGCAAGAGAGGAGCAGGACAATGGTATTGTGGGTCTTTCAAAATTAAAACAAGCCTTTTGGAGGCCAGATACGTTTAGA